TGTTTGTCCGTTTCTTTACGCCAACCCAGTCGCATCTTTTTTTTATTACGCTTATTTCCCATTGCGCCAACACTATAAACCTAAGTATCTATTTCAATATTTTAAATTTACGTCGTCCTGTTACGTAATGTGTGTTCTGGGCGCAAGCGACACAGCTCTCCCGTTCGAAAGCCGAAGCGGGAGTGAGCGGCGGTGTTGTGTTGGGCGGCAGGGAACAAGCTTTAAAACGACTATAGTTTAGGTAATTTCTTTTTAAGGTGAAAATAATGATAATTAAAAAAAAGTAAAAAAAGATAAGCATTGCTTTATAGTTATTTCAGTTAGTATGCAAAGTTTCATGATCTAATTTGAAGTATTTTTTGAATACCAGCGGTTTATTTTTCGGTTTGGAGGTAACTTTGGATTTTTTTTCTATCGAGAAAATTTTATGGAATCGTGTTTTCGTCTAAGATAGTACTCAACATTAATCCTCAACTTCACCATATATTTATTTCAAAATCAATGCTGCAGTATTTTCCGCATAACGGAGGATCATGCTAAGCCATTTGAGGTAGTATAGGCCCTTAACTACCGAAGGTCTAGGTCTCCGCTCCGAAAATACACGAGCCTTCTATATAAACGAACGGCTTGCTAAATTGAACCGCAATGTATTTTTTAGAACTAAGGAATTCGCTCGGCGATTTGATTGGCGCTACGTATGGTCAAAAGAGGGAAAAATTTATACTCGTCGAGAACATGGAACAACGTCTTATCGCATAAAAAGTGAAGTAGATCTCGAGAGGGTTTTTGGAACAAATTCAGTTGGGGCTATCGGAAGCAATGGAAAAAAAAATATAAAAGTAATAATTATCTGAATTTTTTAAATATTACCTTGTTCTGCTATTGCTCATTTTTATGTAAGTCGTTAATAATTGTGTTTGTATTTTTATTTAAGAACTATTTTAGGATTCTATTTCTGTCAAATGAAATATACTATGCCTATACTCGTATGTGGAATAATAATATATCCTGGTTAGTTCTGGCACAAATTTCTAATATCAATGTATTGAAAAGACTCACTAGCGTTTTGTCTTTAAGTTCTGCAATACATACATACAATAATTACTATACGAGTACATTAAGGTACAAGAAAATTTACTCAATGGATAACTATTTAAAAATTTGTGGTATCCCGATAAATATTATATATTCTATCAAATCACATATAATTAATTTTGTCTGTACAAGAAGCAAACTAAAGTTAAATTTTGCGTCGGAACCTATTATGTCAAATAAATATGTAAATCTAAAATTCGTTTATGGCTTCTAAAAGTAACGTAAAAGTTGGTCTTTTAAATGCAGGGTCCCTTGGAACGCGGCACGATGAATTTATTGTCACAATGCAACGGCATAGTGTCGATATCATGGCCATCAATGAGACGTGGCTGCGGGAGTGCGGGAAGGCGAAGAGGGGCGCGCGGCCTCGGTGGCCGGCTACCGGCTGCGGCACGCGCCGCACGCGCCGCACGCGCCGCACGCGCCGCGTCCGCCCGACGTGCGGGAGTGCGGGAGGGCGAAGAGGGGCGCGCGGCCTCGGTGGCCGGCTACCGGCTGCGGCACGCGCCGCACGCGCCGCACGCGCCGCACGCGCCGCGTCCGCCCGACGTGCGGGAGTGCGGGAGGGCGAAGAGGGGCGCGCGGCCTCGGTGGCCGGCTACCGGCTGCGGCACGCGCCGCACGCGCCGCACGCGCCGCACGCGCCGCACGCGCCGCGTCCGCCCGACGTGCGAGGCGACGGCGTTCGCGTGCCGCGTGCTGTACGCTAGTAGAACTAATGTGGATCTCGACCTCTAGCGGCGGAAAGCAACTCGTTATCGGTACCGCGTATAGACCGCGTAGCCGCCGTGGCTGAATGTCGATACATTCATAGACGCGCTTACCGTTACTATGGGGACTTTTTCATGGAGCCAAAACTTACTTCTTCTCGGTGATTTTAATATTAATATGTTAAATATGACGCATAATACCACTATAAAGCTAAATAATTTTCTTACTTGTTTCAAATTAAAACAGCATGTAACTAAGCCAACCCACTTTACGGAATATAGCGAGACTTTAATTGACGTAATATGTACCGACATAAAAGTAAACGCAGTTACTGTAGAACTTATACGTGAATTAAGTAGTCATGCTTTTATTACATGTCAAATTGATATGAGTAAAAAAAAGCCGGCACCAGTAACAATAATGAGTAGGAGAATCTCTGACATAGACGAGGGAGACTTTCATAAGGACCTTACATCAATAAATTGGAAAGAAATTGAGAGTATCGCGGATGTAAATAATCAGGTAGTGCTATTTAACACAGCCATACTTACACTATTAGAAATACACGCGCCTCTTAGAAAAAAAACGATTAAACATCAGCAATTCCCGTGGCTAACCTTTAATATAAAATTGATGATGGAAAACGAGATGACGCATACATTAAAATGAAAAAAAGTAAAAACGACATACATATTAAATACTATAAAGATCTAAAAATCTGCGTCAATAAAGCAATATATAGAGAAAAACAAGCCTACTATAATTTTTATGTTAATCGTAATATAAATAATCCCATTTCAATGTGGAAACATATAAAGTCCAATGTTAAGATAAAACCAAAACACAATATCCCGATAGACTTGTTTAATGATCCAAATAAAATAAACGACTATTTTTTAAACGTGCCTGGAAATAGAAACGTCTCGTTGTCATATTTAACGTACTTTGAGTTCCACTGCTGCGTTAATGACATATTTGAGATAAAGGAGGTAAATGAACTAGAGGTACTAAAATTCATTAAAAGTTTAAAATCTAAAGCCATAGGCATTGATGGGATTTCTCTCGATATGCTCCGTATGACCCTTCCGAAAACACTACCAACTATTACTGCTATAGTAAACAAATCCATTAACTCTAACACCTATCCGACATTATGGCAACATGCGTTAGTCAAACCCATACCTAAGAACTCAAATCCTTTGTCTGAAAAAGACCTTCGGCCCATCAGTATTCTCCCCTGTGTCTCTAAAATTATTGAAAAAATTGTCGCAGAACATCTAACCATGTATTTAGATAGAAAAAAAAATTCTACCGGAAATGCAGTCGGGATTTCGTAAGAACCATAGCACCACGACGGCCCTAGCCCAACTTACTGACGATGTACTAACCGCTCAAGATGAAGGAAAAGGCACAATACTAGTATTACTAGATTTTTCTCGTGCATTTGACTGTATAAATGTTTCCCTTCTCTTATCAAAGCTTCATTACTATGGATTCAGTAGCAGCGCAGTACAATGGTTCGATAGTTATTTTAAAAACCGACTACAAACTGTAGAACTGAGCGATGATCGAGGAACATTAATACGTTCGCAATCAAAAAAAATCAAAGCCGGTGCGCCCCAGGGATCGAACCTGGCTCCAATATTGTTTTCAGTTTACAGTGCCGACTTAGTAAAAAACATTAAGCACTGTAAATTTCATTTATACGCAGATGATCTGCAAGTCTACATGTCATGTAATCCGCGTGATACTCAAGAAGTCGTTAATAAAATCAACGAAGACCTCGAAAGTATAGCCGCGTGGTGCGACTCAAACTGCCTTGTACTAAACGGAACTAAATCTAAACTACTAATTATGGGTTCTAAAAATCAAATAAAAAATATATCAGAAAGAGGGGCATGCATCCAAATTCGAGGGGAAATCGTAGAACGTGTAAATGAGATTCGCAATCTGGGCTTACTAATGGATGACAAACTACAGTTTGAGAACCACATACTAAGTACTAGCAGAAACTGCTTTTATAGACTTAAGGTTCTTTATCAAATAAGGGAGTTTATAAATTCGGATATTCGGGTAAAATTGTGTGACACTCTTGTCCTTTCGAAATTTAATTATATGGACATTGTATATGGCCCGAGACTTTTAGCGCGGTCGCGACGTCTAGTGCGACGTGTTCAAAATGCATGTGCAAGATTTAGTTTTACAATACCGCCCCGCACGCACGTTACCCCTTACATTAACAATGCCAAAATGTTAAAAATGGAATATCGCAGAAAACTGCACATGGCAACTCTCCTATTCGGGGTATTAAAAATTAAAACACCTCCTTATCTTGCTGACAAACTCATATGGTCACGTGATGTAAAAACTTACAATACACGCACTAGAGGGAATACTCTCGTCGTGCCTCGTCACCGCACTCACGCTTTCCGAGGAAGTTTCAAATACGCCGCATCCAAGTGCTGGAACGATATACCGCCTCCTTTGCGAAATCTGAAAGCAGAACACACATTTAAAAATAAATATAGAACACAATTACTGCAAAGTCAGATTAACTTTGATCAAAGTTTATAACGCTTTGCACGATTACGTACCTCATCGTCATAGATTATTAACAACGGAGCATTAAAATCGTCCTTTTGAATGCGGCTTTTGTCTTCTTATATACTTTTATTATCTTCAATAATTACATTTTTTTTTCTTTTTTTTTTTACAAATTATCTGGTCATTTTATTATATAGCACTTTATAGTATTTTAATAATTTCCCTTTTGTAGTATATAGCGCTTTATAGTATTTTAATAATCTCCCCTTTTGTAGTGTTCGTATAGCCCTTCTAAGAGCGTCTGAAAGCAACATAAACGGGACGTGCTGTGTCGAAGTGGCATTCGACCTTGAACTCTACTCTCTCCCTCTCACTTAAGATAGTTACTGTTTCTTTCCCCCTTGTTGTGCATAAATCTGTCATGAGTATACGTATAGCACTGATTTCGGTAAGTCACTGGTTGGACACACTGAAAATCAGCGCCATGGAGAGAAAAAAAAATTCATGGCATTATGCTGAGTGTGCTCCTGTTCCCAGATGACGCCTTGACACATATGAGTATTGGTATTGTATAGTTTGTAATATGTAGTATATTGTAATTTGTATTGTATAGCCAATATTATTTGTAAATTATGTGTTTCTTTTTTATGTTATCTGTGATGGCGAAATTTTGGAGAATATACCTTTCTTTCTTTCTTTCTTTCTTTAATACATCTAAATTCACAGATATGACACGAATAAGGTTTTTCTCCAGTGTGTATTTTTAGATGATTTTGCAATTTATCTTTTCTTTTACACCTAAATTCACAGATATTACACAAAAAAGGTTTTTCTCCAGTGTGTATTTTCATATGCCTTTGCAAAATACTTTTTGTAATACATTTATATTCACAGATATTACACGAAAAGGGCCTTTCACGGGTGTGAATTAAAATGTGTGTTTTCAAATAACTTTTTCGTATACATTTATATTCACAGATATGACACGAAAAAGGTTTTTCTCCGGTGTGTTTTTGAATAACATGGTATTTCAAACTATCTTTCGTAATACATCTATATTCACAGTTATTACACGAAAAAGGTTTTTCTCCAGTGTGTATTTTCATATGACTTTGCAAACTACTTTTTAAAGTACATCTAAATTCACAGATATTACACGAAAAAGGTTTTTCACCGGTGTGCATTTTCATAATATGTGTTTTCAAATTACTTTTTGCAAAACACTTATATTCACAGATATGACACGAAATAGGTTTTTCTCCGGTGTGTTTTCTAATTATATGGAATTGCAAATTACTTTTTGTAATACATTTGTATTCACAAATATTACACGAAAAAGGTTTTTCTCCGGTATGTATTTTCATATGTCTTTGCAAAGTACTTTTTTTAATGCATTTATATTCACAGATATTACACGAAAAAGGTTTTTCTCCGGTGTGTTTTTGAATAACATGGTATTTCAAACTATCTTTCGTAATACACCTATATTCACAGTTATTACACGTAAAACGTTTTTCTCCAGTGTGTATTTTCATATGATTTTGCAAACTACTTTTTAAAGTACATCTAAATTCACAGATATTACACGAAAAAGGTTTTTCACCGGTGTGCATTTTCATAATATGTGTTTTCAAATTACTTTTTGCAAAACACTTATATTCACAGATATGACACGAAATAGGTTTTTCTACAGTGTGTTTTCTAATTATATGGAATTGCAAATTACTTTTTGTAATACATTTATATTCACAGATATTACACGAAAAAGGTTTTTCTCCAGTATGTATTTTCATATGTCTTTGCAAAGTACCTTTCTTAATGCATTTATATTCACAGATATTACACGAAAAAGGTTTTTCTCCAGTGTGTATTTTCATATGGTATTGCAAATTTATCTTTTTTGTACATTTATAATCACAATTATTACAAAAGTACACTTGTTTAGCAACGTGAACTTTAAAATGAGCCAAAATACGACGTTTTTGAAATGTTTTAAATTCGCAAATATCACAATTAAATATTTCCTTTAGTTGTGGTACTGGAGTTTGTTCAACTTGTGTCCGAAATGCAGTAGTGTCAGAGTTAGTTTTTGTCTTATGACTGTATGATATGTGTTTGGCGAGAATGTCTTTTGTTGAAAATTTTTTGTTACAACCATCACATTCAAAGATGTATTTTGTTGTTGCCCCTGATGTTTTTTTCGTAAGTATATTTACACTCTTTTGTTTCACAATTTTCTTTTTTATAATCTTCGCAGGATGCTTTCCTTTTTTATTAATTGGTTGATTACCTTTTTTCACTTTAGGGTTTGATTTAATAGTAGGGATTTCAGAATCGAGGTTTTTTTTACGTACGTCGATTATGTTACTATCACATTTTGATTTAATCTTTTTCTCAGACGATTCAGAATAATTATTTGTCGGTGTGATGTATTGTTCTGAAATCATGAATCAGACATTTTATTTATTGTATGACATTGCATTTTTATTGTAAGACACCATAAACGGTTTACAATGGGCTGAGTTTATGCATTATGGAATTCTATATCAGTTAACCAAAAGAGAAATAGAGAAATTATAATATTTTACATAATTATACTAAATATTGTTGCTAGATATAAAGTATTCTAGCCAATAATATAATGAATAATGTCTCTCATATTCATTTTCGGAGGAAAACAGTTGTATTCGTTTCACAATATTTATTTTAAATTATTAATATACTACCCCGTGTAGTGGCGGGTATGGCCACTACCTCATTTTTTCTCGTGGGTGTCGTAAGAGGCGACAGAGGGAAACAGGCAGAAGATAGCCAGAAGAATCTATCTGATAACAGCAAGACAACAATAAAAAAACTGCGGTTGCCAATCCGCTCGCCAAGAGTGGCAACTATGGCAATATACCCCCATTGTTAAAGTTAAGAAGAGACGGGTCGCAATTCCCGGCGGCCCAGCTATTCCAGACTACGGTGGCGACCATGGTAACGGCGGAGCAGGGGTGCTAAGAATCTCTGGTGGAAGTTCGGTTTCCACCTAACTTTAAACAAGATAATTGTATGCCCTACAAATAATACTTTTGGTTCTAATATCGCTCATGTGTAATTAAAAAACAAAATTTTGTATGTGAAGTACATCCCCAACTACATGATACAAGAGAAATTTTTAATGTGGTTTTATTTATTACTTGATACAGGTTTTTTAAAATAAATTATTTTACCTATGTTATCATCATCTTTTTTATTATTTCTGCGTTTTTGTTTTAGTTCTACAGTCTTCGATTTCTCTTTACTTTTTGAACCAAATGCAATTATTAGTGGCAAGTCATTCTCTGAATCCGTTTGTCTATCTCCAAAAGCATCAATCTCCAATTCTTCTGCTTTTCCAGCAATCTCTAGAATGAAACATATTCTGCCGCAATTTTTTTTTTATAGGATAAGGGTGACAAACGAGCACACAATCCACCTGATGGTAAGTGGTTGCTGTGGCCCATAGACATCTACATCTATTTTCGGTTACGAATCAAAATTCAGATGCGTTGTCACCCGTGAGGACTAAGATGGAATGCCTTGTTTCCAGTAAAAAGGGTCTCCGGTTCTCTACACTCACCATACGAAACACAGCTGCGTTAAGCTGCTATTTTACGCTGGTATTCTGTGAGAGCGTGGTCCTTCCCCGGCCTAGGCGACCTATTCGTGCTACAACCATAATATAGCTGCAGCATGGCTCTACCACGTATAAATATATAAAATAAAAACTGATTTTTTTTTCAAGCAACTAGATCATTAGTCCATCACACCTTTTGGGACTGAACTACTCACTTTCATTACAATGCTGCATGTTTCATAAGCTAAGAGTAATAAGCCGAGTGAGGATCTGGTATGCAGTAAGTCGATGGATGCAGGTGGATAAAGCCCGTGCTTTGTGGCAATCCTTAGGGAGGCCTATGTTTAGTAGTGGACTTGTGAAGGGCTGTAATGATGATGATGATTCATTCACCTCATTTAATGAGTGTTCTGCCACAAGTTGTTTTTAGTAGGTAAATGCTTGCCAGTACAAGGATGCCTTCAGCGCCTTTTCTTCATATTTTTTGTATGAAGTGACAAACAAACTAACAGTCCACCTTATGGTATGTAGCTGATCCACCTGATGGTAGATGGGTAGTGTAGTCCATGGACTGCTTGCAGCTAACTTCAAACATAAAAGACTACAATGTGCAGTCATCTCTGACGACTGAGATCAAATATACCACACTCTATACCCTTCAGACTGGAATACCCACTGCTATTCAAGTAAGTAAGTCCAACTTCAACCGAGAGGTCAATCGACGGATTCTACTCGGCTGGGCAGCGTTCGGGAAACTACGACACATTTTCTCGTCAGATATTCCTCAAAACGAATTTATACAACCATTGCGTGTTGCCAGTGATGACTTACGGATCTGAGACGTGGTCCTTCACTGCTGGCCGGATGAGGAAGCTCAAGCTCGCTCAGCGAGCTATGGAGAGGGCTATGGAGAGGGCTATGCTCGGAGTTTCTCTGCGTGATAAACTTAGAAATGAGGATATCCGCAGTAGAACCAGAATGATCGACATACCCCAACGGATTAGTAAGCTGAAGTGGCAGTGGGCCGGCCATATAGCTCGAAGAACCGACAACCGATGGGGAAGAAAGGTTCTTGAGTGGCAGCCTCGTACCGGTAGGCGAAGTGTAGGGCGACCCCCCACGAGATGGAGTGATGACCTGGTAAGACATGCAGGAAGTCGATGGATGCAGGTGGCTCAGGACCGTGCTTTGTGGCATTTCTTGGGGGAGGCCTATGTTCAGCAGTGGACTTATGAAAGGCTGTAATGATGATGATGATACCCTTCAGACTGGAATATGCACTGCTATTCAACGGCAGAAATTAGGTGAGAGGAGGAGGGAGGAGTCCATGTGGGTAAGTACACCTAGATCGGCTCATAGGCAAAAATGGAGTCCCGCCACCTAGTAATGACAATAAGAAATTGGCAAAGATAGGTGGTTGCTTATTAGTTGTAAATATGTATATCATTATATCCTATGAAATTAATATTTCTTTGTGACATACATACTGGCAGCATTTATAAACGGTCAAAATATTTTTTAAGTATATTAATACATTAGTAAAAAAAATGTCTAAAGAAGCTCGTTATGACGTCCATACAGGCTTATCTTTAAAATAATTATATGATTTGTAATTTTCTTTCTCCATAAAAGTGATTTTAACATGCACTTAAAATTTAGGCAAAGGCAAATCAGTACATTGCACATGAAGCCCTCTTTATTTTGTTTGGGCTACAGTAACCTCTAGACATTAAACTAACTTTAGCTTATTTTAATAATATCAAAAAAGGGGTATATAAAGGGGCTTACCTATTTCATAATTCTCATTTTCTTCAAATTTGGAATTCCCATTTTCGAAATTCTCTTCCTCAATTTTAACAGATTCAAGAATAAAAATTTCATCCTTACAATCAATTTCTGTATCACATTCTACTGGCCTGATATCTACATGGCAAATTGGTGAGAATTGAATCTTATCTTTAGCCTCTTGCGGTTTTGGTACTGACTGAAACCATTATTTTAAATAAGTGAAAAAGCCAGTGTTGTGGTGGCGTGGGATAATCCATACTATCCCGCAGATGTCGTAATAAGGGTCAGGGAAACTGAAACAGAAGATGACCAGCAGCATCTTCAGTCAGCTATATGTTTTTTTTTTATATAGGAGAGGGGGCAAACGAGCATGCGGCTCACCTGATGATAAGTGACTACCGCCGCCCATGAACAACTGCAACACAAGGGGAATTGCAGACGCGTTGCCGGCCTTTTAAAAAGGAGTAGGCTATTTTCTTAAAGGTCCCTAAGTCGTATCGGTCTGGAAAAATTGGTGGTGGTAATCGATTCAACAAGGAAGTTGTGGGAGGGAGAAAACTTCTTTTAAATCGCACAGTGGTGGACTGCCAATCATCCAGATGGTATGGATGGTACATACATTAAATTCTTGTAAATATATTGAGAGACCAAAGTTAATATATTCATTTCTTTTAACTATAAATGTTATATTAAATTCAAGACTTATTAGTTTAAATAATGATCCATATAAATAGTTAGTATTGTTTATAGATGAAAGAAAAGGCAGCTTTTTCACTCTACTACCTTTAAATCTCCCTAAGCGATGTTCATTTATTGGAACAAGCACAACTTTCTTAACTTTCTGTATTTTGTGCATGTAAGGTAGTGAGACTAACTGTCCACAGTGATCAGAACTTAAATTTTGAATAATTAATTTATGTAAGGGCTCAACATAAGTAAAAATATTATCTATATAAGTTGCACTAGGCCCTGCAATATGTGTTGGCTCAAAAAACAAATTAACAAGGTTGTAATGATTTGAGCAATTATTTAAACTTAATACTTATGGAAGAAGCTTCAAGGAGATTAATATTAAAGTCTCCACATATGACAACAGATTTGTTCTGGTTATTAAGTTTAAGCAAAACTTCCTCCATTATATTTTCAAAACAATCAATCGTCTACATAGAATGGCGATCTGTAAACACTGACAACAATGTAGTGTTTGAACTCAACACATGCCATTTCTACAGTTCGCTAACAGAGAGGCTCACAATATCCTTACATTGTTTACTTATTAATAATTTATTAGCCAATATTAAGGAGCCACCATGTAATTTTTTTCTCTGTTATAGCAACTGACCACCTGGTGTTTACTGAAATTAAACATATTATAGTTTTTAGCCAATTTAAAGTATTTTAACCAATGTTCAGTTATACAGAAAATTTGTATGTTGTTACTATTGAAAAACAATTAAATTTCTAATTCTTTGCCTAACATGCCTTGCA